GTTAACAAACTATAGTTTTGGCAAGTCGGTTAGGACATCTACTTTGTGCATGACACAAGTAATTTTTCCAACAATTGTTTACAGACAGATTATTTCACTTATAATTCACTGTATCACAATTCCAGTGGGTCAGAAGTTTACATACACTAAGTTGACTGTGCCCTTAAACAGCATGGAAAATTCCAGAAAATGATTTCATGGTTTTAGAAGCTTCTGATAGGCTAATTGACATCATTTGAGTCAATTGGAGGTGTACCTGTGGATGTATTTCAAGGCCCACCTTCAAACTCAGTGCCTCTTTGCTTGACATTATGGGAAAATCAAAAGAAATCAGCCAAGACCTCAGAAAAAAATGGTAGACCTCCACAAGTCTGGTTCATCCTTGAGAGCAATTTCCAAATGCCTGAAAGTACCACGTTCATCTGTACAAACAATAGTACTCAAGTATAAACACCATGGGACCACGCAGCCGTCATACCGCTCAGGAAGTAGACACGTTCTGTCTCCTAGAGATGAACGTACTTTGGTGCGAAAAGTGCAAATCAATCCCAGAACAACAGCAAAGGACCTTGTGAAGATGCTGGAGGAAACAGGGACAAAAGTATCTATATCCACAGTAAAAAGAGTCCTATATCGACATAACCTGAAAGGCCACTCAGCAAGGAAGAAGCCATTGATCCAAACCGCCATAAAAAAGCCAGACTACGGTTTGCAACTGCACATGGGGACAAAGATCATACTTTTTGGAGAAATGTCCTCTGGTCTGATGAAACAAAAATAGAACTGTTTGGCCATAATGACCATCGTTATGTTTGGAGGAAAAGGGGGATGCTTGCAAGCCGAAGAACACCATCCCAAACGTGAGGCACGGGGGTGGCAGCATTATGCTGTGTGGGTGCTTTGCTGCAGGAGGGACTGGTGCACTTCACAAAATAGATGGCATCATGAGGAAGGGAAATTATGTGGATATATTGAAGCAACATCTCAAGACATCAGTCAGGAAGTTAAAGCTTGGTCGCAAATGGGTCTTCCAAATGGACAATGACCAAGCATACTTCCAAAGTTGTGGCAAAATGGCTTAAGGACAACAAAGTCAAGGTATCAAGCCTTGAGACAATTGAGACATGGATTGTGTATGTGTGCCATTCAGAGGGTGAATGGACAAGACAAAATATTTAAGTGCCTTTGACCGGGGTATGGTAGTAGGTGCCAGGCGCACCAGTTTGTGTCAAGAACTGCAACGCTGCTGGGTTTTTCATGCTCAACAGTTTCCTGTGTGTATCAAGAATGGTCCACCACCCAAAGGACATCCAGCCAACTTGACACAACTGTGGGAAGCATTGGAGTCAACATGGGCCAGCATCCCTGTGGAAAGCTTTCAACACCTTGAGGCTGTTCTGAGGGCAAAAGGGGGGATGCAACTCTTCATTAGGAAGTGTTAATGCTTGGTATACTCAGTGTATAGTCTAGTGAGTGTGCATAGGATCAGTGCAAGATAGAGTCAGTGCAGATAGTTTGGGTACCATTAATTGGCTTGGGAATAGAAGCTGTCTCGGAGCCTGTTGATCCGAGAGCCGATGCTCCGGTACCGTTTGCCAGACGGTAGCCGAGTTTTTCGGGCCTTCCTCTGACACCGCCTGATATAGAGGTCCTGGATGGCAGGGAGCTCGGCCCCAGTGATGTACTGGGCTGTCCGCACCACCCTCTGTAGCGCTTTGCAGTCAAGGGCGGTGCATTTACCATACCAAGCAGTGATGCAGCCAGTCAGGATGCTTTTGAGGATACGAGGGCCCATGCCTTCTGAGGGGGAAGTGGCCATGACTGTGCCGGTGTGTGCGGACCATGTTAAGTTCTTAGTGATGTGGACGCCAAGGAACTTGAAGCTCTCAACCTGTTCCACAACAGCCCCGTCGATGTGGATGGAGGCGTACTCTCCCCTCTTTCTCCTATAGTCCACGATCAGCTCCTTGGTCTTGCTGACTTTGAGGGAGAGGTTGTTGGCCTGTCACCATACTGCTAAGTCTCTGACGTCCACCCTGTAGGCTGTCTCATTGCCGTCAGTGATCAGGCCTACCACCATCGTGTCATCAGCAAACTTGATGATGGTGTTGGAGTCGTGCGCAGCCACTCAGTCATGGGTGAAAAGGGAGTACAGGAGGGGACTAAGCACACACCCCTGAGGTAAAGCATGGCGGAGGTGTTGTTGGCTATTCTCACCACCTGGGGTCGGCCCGTCAGGAAGTCCAGGATCCAGTTGCAGAGGGAGGGGTTCAGTCCCAGGGTCCCTAGCTTGGTGATGAGCTTGGAGGGGACAATGGTGTTGAACGCTGACTGTAGTCTATGAACAGTATTCTCATCACAAACACGTCACAAACCCTGCTACATTCACCAAATGCATGTGTAAGTCCCTTTGGATAAAAGCGTCTGCTAAATGGCATATATTATTATATTATTAAAAGCCATTCCTCTTTAGCAAACTCTTTCCTTAGTCTCGTGTGACAAGACTGTTCACATAAATGTTAAATTGAGTAGCTGGCCAGTCCACGCAAGATTTGGTTCTGGGTTCCAAGATGACTCTTTCCCCAAACAGAGCCCCTACCTATGTACAGCAGGCAGCACCCCTGTGATTTTCTGTGACTGAAGAAGGTGTGAGTAGTACAGTTGAAATGTTTAGTAGCCGACTACTGACGTAGGCAGAAACCATAAAGAGGGGTTGGATGAAAAGGTGTGACAGGGTTGTGTTCGGATCCGTGTTGAGGACGACTGGTCCCATGGCCATTGAGAAGGATGAATTGACCCTTGCCCTTACTGTCCAGACTTAATAACACCAGGGTAAATACATAGCCCCCCACTGGGCCTACCACTCACTATGTCTGGCCCACAGAGGCTGTGTCCCAAATGGCACCCTATTCCCTATATAGTGCACTACTTTTGAACAGGGGCTCTGGTCATAAGTAGTGCACTACTGTATATAGGGGGTAGGGTGCCATTTGGGACACAACGAGAGAGAAACTAATGTCTTAACTTCTCTGTAGGAAAACTGCTCACTGACCTTGGGTTCTTATAAATGTTTAATTAACAAACTCATCTTGACAGACGGAGAGACCACAATGATAATGGACGACAAGATCTTCAAATCCAATTTATTTCTAATTAGATCATTTAACTTTTAAAATGTGGACCAGAGACTCGTTACATTCACACTTACAGTGGGGAAAAAAAGTTTTTAGTCAGCCACCAATTGTGCAAGTTCTCCCACTTAAAAAGATGAGAGAGGCCTGTAATTTTCATCATAGGTACACGTCAACTATGACAGACAAATTGAGGAAAAAAAATCCAGAAAATCACATTGTAGGATTTTTAATGAATTTATTTGCAAATTATGGTGGAAAATAAGTATTTGGTCACCTACAAACAAGCAAGATTTCTGGCTCTCACAGACCTGTAACTTCTTCTTTAAGAGGCTCCTCTGTCCTCCACTCGTTACCTGTATTAATGGCACCTGTTTGAACTTGTTATCAGTATAAAAGACACCTGTCCACAACCTCAAACAATCACACTCCAAACTCCTCTATGGCCAAGACCAAAGAGCTGTCAAAGGACACCAGAAACAAAATTGTAGACCTGCACCAGGCTGGGAAGACTGAATCTGCAATAGGTAACCAGCTTGGTTTGAAGAAATCAACTGTGGGAGCAATTATTAGGAAATGGAAGAAATACAAGACCACTGATAATCTCCCTCGATCTGGGGCTCCACGCAAGATCTCACCCCGTGGGGTCAAAATGATCACAAGAACGGTGAGCAAAAATCCCAGAACCACACGGGGGGACCTAGTGAATGACCTGCAGAGAGCTGGGACCAAAGTAACAAAGCCTACCATCAGTAACACACTACGCCGCCAGGGACTCAAATCCTGCAGTGCCAGACGTGTCCCCCTGCTTAAGCCAGTACATGTCCAGGCCCGTCTGAAGTTTGCTAGAGTGCATTTGGATGATCCAGAAGAGGATTGGGAGAATGTCATATGGTCAGATGAAACCAAAATAGAACTTTTTGGTAAAAACTCAACTCGTCGTGTTTGGAAGACAAAGAATGCTGAGTTGCATCCAAAGAACACCATACCTACTGTGAAGCATGGGGGTGGAAACATCATGCTTTGGGGCTGTTTTTCTGCAAAGGGACCAGGACGACTGATCCGTGTAAAGGAAATAATTAATGGGGCCATGTATCGTGAGATTTTGAGTGAAAACCTCCTTCCATCAGCAAGGGCATTGAAGATGAAACGTGGCTGGGTCTTTCAGCATGACAATGATCCCAAACACACCGCCCGGGCAACGAAGGAGTGGCTTCGTAAGAAGCATTTCAAGGTCCTGGAGTGGCCTAGCCAGTCTCCAGATCTCAACCCCATAGAACATCTTTGGAGAGAGTTGAAAGTCCATGTTGCCCAGCGACAGCCCCAAAACATCACTGCTCTAGAGGAGATCTGCATGGAGGAATGGGCCAAAATACCAGCAACAGTGTGTGAAAACCTTGTGAAGACTTACAGAAAACGTTTGACCTGTGTCATTGCCAACAAAGGGTATATAACAAAGTATTGAGAAACTTTTGTTATTGACCAAATACTTATTTTCCACCATAATTTGCAAATAAATTCATTAAAAATCCTACAATGTGATTTTCTGGATTTTTTTTCCTCATTTTGTCTGTCATAGTTGACGTGTACCTATGATGAAAATTACAGGCCTCTCTCATCTTTTTAAGTGGGAGAACTTGCACAATTGGTGGCTGACTAAATACTTTTTTTCCCCACTGTACTATTCTCTCTGGTCCTGTCTGTACCTCTCTTGTCCTGTCTGTACCACTCTGGTCCTGTCTGTACCACTCTGGTCCTGTCTGTATCTCTCTGGTCCTGTCTGTACCTCTCTGGTCCTGTCTGTATATCTCTGGTCCTGTCTGTACCACTCTGGTCCTGTCTGTACCACTCTGGTCCTGTCTGTACCACTCAGGTCCTGTCTGTACTTCTCCGGTCCTGTCTGTACTTCTCCGGTCCTGTCTGTACCTCTCCGGTCCTGTCTGTACCTCTCCGGTCCTGTCTGTATCTCTCTGGTCCTGTCTGTACCTCTATGGTCCTGTCTGTACCTCTCCGGTCCTGTCTGTACCTCTCCGGTCCTGTCTGTACCTCTCCGGTCCTGTCTGTATCTCTCCGGTCCTGTCTGTATCTCTCCGGTCCTGTCTGTATCTCTCCGGTCCTGTCTCTACCTCTCCGGTCCTGTCTGTATCTCTCCGGTCCTGTCTGTATCTCTCCGGTCCTGTCAGTGGGGTTTAAGAGGGTCTGTTCCTACCTCTCAAGGTGAAAAGAAGGCATGTTTCTTAACTATGGCATTCCCTTCTTTTCCCAAACAGCTTCTAATCCCAAAGGAAAAGTAGGCTTACTACTTTCACTAGGGCTGGTATGCTAGAGCTTGACCCTTGTAAAACTACTGCGAGGGTAGAGAGAGAGAGGGAGAGATTTTTCTTCCACCCCCCCCCCCCCCCCCACTAAGCTGTGTTAACATTTCGCTCGCTTTACAAGAAAAGCATTTGTGCATTCTAAGCAAGCGTCACAATGACACTCGTGGTCTTGAGTACAGATTTATACCACACCAAATGAAAATGATCCTCAGAGCTGTACTACTGCTGCAACCGTATGAGACCAGGCTGGGAGGATTATAAACGGCGGGACTACAAAGTGTGCCAAAGGCAAGTTTTACGTCTGAGGGTGGTTTTAACCTTCCAGACTTGGAATTGTATTAATTCGCCACCCAAGGCTTTTACTTGCGCCACCCCTCAGAGCCTGGTTCCTCTCTAGGTTTCTGCCTTTCTAGGGAGTCTTTCCTAGCCACCGTGCTTCTACATCTGCATTGCTTGCTGTTTGGGGTTTTAGGCTCGGTTTCTGTATAGCACTTTGTGACATCTGCTGATGTAAAAAGGGCTTTATAAATAAATGTGATTGATTGATAAATGCACAAAAGAGGAACAATGGGTAGCTTACATATTGAAGATGCGCATGTTCATCCCCAGAATATTCTAATGTGTCTGTTTTCAAAGGATAAAGCTAAGAACATTAATATAGTTAAAATGAAACGGATTCTACAAGAACCAATATCACTCCCTAAAAACACACCCCTATGGAAAAATCATTTTATAACTTTTCAGAATTCACAGATAAATTGGTCCACATGGAAAACTAAAGGTATAGAAACCGTAAATGACTTCTTGGGTAATAGGAAATACCATTTATTTCCATGACAGAATTAAAAAGCAATTTGGAGTGACCAATGTAGACATTTTCAAATATATTTAAATTACAAGTTTTATATCATACAATTTAGATCTGAAATCAGAGCAATGTTGAGGGAATCCTATTTGAGTCAGAAAAAAATACTCATGTGATAGGTAAGATATACCAAACCTTGCAGAGAGCCTATCTAACTGACAATCTCTTAGAAAAATTTTTACTATTCGAACCATGACCGAAAAAGAACTGAAATTGGCACAAGATGGAGGGAGTGTTGGAACATAACTTAACGAAATTACAGTTAAATCCAGTATAAAATAATGTACAGAATGTATTATACAAGAGACAAAATCCACAAATTCTACAGCACAACGGCAGAGTCATGTCTTAAGTGTAAAACAAATAATGACTCAATAATGCATGCTTTCTAGGAGTGCTATAAAGTCAAAACGTTACGGTTGGAGGTAGACAGTTAGCTGTCAGAAGTTTTACAATTTAAGTTTACCTTTAATCCGTCTATCTGCATTTTTCAAGACATGGCATGTGGACATGCAGTGAGATACCCAATGGGTTGGATAATGCTTTTCTCTGCAATCATTTTGGAAAAACATTACTTATTATCTGGAAATCGAATGATCAGATCCTCCATCGTTAAGACACTGGATGAATCAAATGCAGTATTATTTAAATATTGAAAAAATGCGGGCTACAGAAAGAAACTAAATAGAACAATTTGAAGCCGAATGGCATAAAATTACAAGCACTAGAAATAACCAATGGATGAAAAGTGAAAACAGTATGTTATTATGAGAACAAACAAGATCGGTGTGGATACTGTGGGAACAGGTCTGAGCAAGTATGATGTCATTAATGTTTGTTGAAATGTATGTACGTCTGAGTTGAAGTTTTGTCTTTATTCAGCTTTTTTTCTTTATGTTGAAGGTTGGGCGTTAAGTCCCAGCCAACGTCATGTCTAGTTTAGTGGATCCATGTCTGTGAATTGTTAAGTTGTCTATTGTCTTTGTCTATGTCTATTGTCTATTGTCTAAAAAACAAACTAAAAAAAGATTTATAGCCTGGCTATTCAGCAGGTCTGAAAACACGCTCCTCATTACCATGTAAACCCTGATAATTTAGAGCTTCAAGCTCCCACCCATCCTTGCTGCTTTGAATGAAGTCCAGTGGCTCTGGGGAGGAACAACACTCCTATTTTCTAATAGGCTACTTATCCCTCCCTCTCTCGTTCTCTGTCTCACTCTCTTACTCTCTCTCTCTCTCTATGTGTCTCTCCCTCTCTCGTTCTACAGATTATGAGATTATTACAGTGCAGGAAGCTGATATCTGAGGTACACCACCCCATTCACGAAAATGGATTGCTGTGAGTCACGTGGCAGACAGGCATCGAGGCATTCAGTTACTGTTCGATTGAATGTTAGAATGGGAAAAACGAATTACCTAAGCGACTTTGAGCGTGGTATGATCGTAGGTGCCAGGCGCGCCGGTTCCAGTATCTCAAAAACAGCCACACTTCTGGGCTTTTCACGCACGACAGTGTCTAGGGTTTACCGAGAATGGTGCGACAAACAAAAAACATCCAGTCAGCAGCAGTCCTCTGGGCGAAAACAGGTCGTTGATGAGAGATGTCGAATGAGAATGGCAAGAATCGTGCAAGCTAACAGGCTGGCCACAAACAGACAAATAACGGCGCAGTACAACAGTGGTGTGCAAAACGGCATCTTGTAAAGCACAATTTGTCAGTCCTTGTCACGGATGGGCTATTGCAGCAGATTACCACACCGGGTTTCACTACTATCAGCTAAAAACAAGAAGGCACACGATCACCAACACTGGACTATAGAGGAGTGGAAAAACATTGCCTGGTCCGACGAATCCCAGTTCCTGTTGCGTCATGCTGATGGCAGGGTCAGGATTTGGCGTAAGCAGCATGAGACCATGGCCCCATCCTGCCTGGTGTCAACGGTACAGGCTGGTGGCGGTGGTGTACTGGTGTGGGGAATATTTTCCTGGCACTCGTTAGGTCCCTTGATACCAATTGAGCAACGATTGAACGCCACAGCGTATCTGAACACTGTTGCTGACCAAACCCAAAAGAGCATCTTTGGGATGAGATGGAACAGGCTGTTCGCAGCATGAATGTACCACCGTCCAATCTGCAGCAACTGCGTGATGCCATCGCTTCAGCATGGACCAACATCCCTGTGGAACGTTTCCGACACCTTGTAGAATCCATGCCCCGAAGAATTCAGGCTGTTCTGGAGGCAAAGTGGGGTCCGACCTGGTACTAGATGGGTCTACCTATTAAACTGGCCGGTGAGTGTATATGTAACTTATAAAGGAAAACAAGAGGTGTTATTTATGCTAGTCATTTTAAGCATTGCGTGTATCCAAACTCTCATTTAGCTCACACAAACCATTGCAGGGAGGTTCTACAATACTACACCAGATGGAAGGCCAGAGCTCAGTATGACAGAAGTGCATCGTAAAATTAGGTAATTTACTGTGATGGGGATTTTATGTAACTGGTGATAGGAATCCCAACAGTAGTTCATCTCTATGTTACTGGTACTAATGTCTTTCTACTTTGTCTGGGTAGCTCTGAATGACAAAGGTTACTACTTTGTTTACTTTACGGATTTAAATCCTTCATAGTTGGCGTACACAAGTAAATGTAAATCTCCCAAAGCAATCATTACAGAATTGCAATGCAATGCCGCTGAAATGAAAGGGCATGTCTACAGGGAAAAACTCAGTTTTACCATGATTGTCCCACAGTCAGAGAGATTAGTCTTGATGCTGAAGACGTAGTCATCTTCAATCTCAACACCACGGCATTCTAGGTCATTTAGGTGCAAATCCCAGACCTAAGAGAGGGGATTACTAGAGAGTTGCAGTAGACCCACGTGACAGCCTAATATTAAAATTGTGATTTGGTTTTGGGTGCTGAGATTACTAGAGCAAGATATTGCACAATATGACACAGCACAGCACATCACAACACACGGGCAGTAATCTATAATACCACATTGAACAGTAGATGAATGGTAATGAAGCTGCATTATAAAGTAATATTAATTCTAGGTGAAACGGAACTTACATAAACGGGTGGCACTTTGTTGAGGAAGAAGGCACTGGGAATGACCACCTCCATCAGGTCATTGGTGCAGAGGACAGTTTCATTCAGCTCTAGGCGAGAGGAAGGAGTCAGAGGGACTACAAATACATCCTGTCCCCCTGACCCTGTCATGAAGTCACAGAACATGAAATCAGATAAGATGAAATCACATAACATCACATGAAATCACAGAACATGAAATCAGATAAGATGAAATCACATAACATCACATGAAATCACAGAACATGAAATCAGATAAGATGAAATCACATAACATCACATGAAATCACAGAACATGAAATCACATGAAATATCATAACGTAAAATTAGATAGCATTAAATCTGTTGAATGGAGTTTTAAATGTATTACACTGTAACTCAATATGTGCAACTATACCGTTTATTACAGTTATTATAAGGGCAGTTGTTTAAGAATGTTGTACTGCCACACAGTATGTGACAACATCAATATTGTTACGGCAAGGTTAAATCTATAGATTCTGTTCTCCTACATGTTCCATCACAGACTCCAAACAGTTTCCCCCGTGACAACATGATGCTTCTGGTATGCTTCTGTAATACATGTGGTCTCTAGATTTCAACAGGTTCTTATTGTTGAAAAATATCCATCAACATTAAACCCACATCAACAAACAGATCCAAAAACAGATATTCAACTCAAGATTTGCTCACGAATAGGGTTGCAAAATTCCTGAAAACGTCCCCAAAATTCACTTGTTCATCAAAAGGCCTGGTTGAAGAGAATTCAAGCTTGGAGCGTATTCCCTGCTTATTCCAGAAATCCTGCAACCGGAATTTCTGGAAAAAACAGGGGATTATAGCAACCCTGAAGTAGTTGGATCCCAGTGGTGTTGAAGTGAACTGAACTCACCCTCCTCCTCATGCTCCAGATACACAGTAGAGTTGACTGTCCTCACAGCGAGCAGGAACCAGGCTAACACCAAACTGGCAGGTGTCATCTTCAAAGTCTCTCTCTCTCTCTCTCTCTCTCTCTCTCTCTGGCGTATCTACTGTCAGACACTCCAAACCTTAGACTCCTGACTTCTTGGCCCTTTCTCCCAGATCTTTGAATCTTCTGAGCTATTCACCACAGTGTAGGTTCAGACGTAGTCCCCCCTCTCAGTGCAGCCCTCTAAACACAGCTTTAATTAACCTCCTTCCTTCCCTCTCTTCAGACCTTAAAGGCCCAGTGCAGTCAAAAACTAGATTATCCTGTGTTTTCTATATATTTCCACACTATGATGTTGGAATAATAATGTGACATTTTGAAAATTATGATAATGCTCTTTTAGTGTAAGAGCTGTTTGAAAAGGCCATCTGAAATTTCAGCCTGTTTTGGTAGGAGGGAGTTTTGGCCTTCCATGGTGACATCACCATGCGGTAATATTTAATAGACCAATAAGAAAGAGTTCCAACCCTCTCTGCCATAACAGCTAATTTTCAGTTTTCCTCTCCCCACTCAAACCCCTCCAGATAGTCCTAGCAAAATTCTTGCTTGAGAAATTGCTCTTTGCTAAGATGCTATTTTTGTTTATTTTTGACCATTTGAATTGCAAAACAATCACAGTAAGATACTTAATTGTTACCCAGAAATGAACTGATATTGAGATATAAAAAAAACAGCTGCATTGGACCTTTAAAACCCCAGCCTGAATGATGTCCCCACCAACAATGAGATTCCACACATGAATAGGGGGAACCGAGGGGAGTCCGAGGTAACACGCATAAGTTTGTATCCCAAATGGCACCCTATTCCCTATATAGTGCACTACTATTTGTGCCATTTGGGATGCAGCCATACAACTAGGCCGTTGCCGGCGATGCCCTCTTAGTAAACATCTTACAATTACGTAACTACGTTGTCTTACTACATACATCAACTCATTAACATGTAAACAGAGGCGATAGTACATCTCATTAACATGTAAACAGAGGCGATAGTACATCTCATTAACATGTAAACAGAGGTGATGGTACATCTCATTAACATGTAAACAGAGGCGATAGTACATCTCGTTAACATGTAAACAGAGGTGATAGTACATCTCATTAACATGTAAAAAGAGGCGATAGTACATCTCATTAACATGTAAACAGAGGCGATAGTACATCTCATTAACATGTAAACAGAGGCGATAGTACATCTCATTAACATGTAAACAGAGGCGATAGTACATCTCATTAACATGTAAACAGAGGCGATAGTACATGGGTGGTCTGCCGTCTTTTGTCCATTTCTAAAGGCCATGGTGAAATCTTTACTGGTGTGGGAACCCCAGTCAATGGCTACGTCCCAAATGGCACCCTATGCCCTATATAGTGCACTACAATTGACCAGGGCACACATTAGGCTCTGGTCAAAGGTAGTGCACTATATAGGGAATAGGGTGCCATTTGGGACGCACACTGTGAGATGAAAAGAAGGCCTGCCGACGAGTCAAGGGCAGTACACTGACACTGCCAATGTTCTAACGTTGTGTGTGTTTGTGTGTGTGTGTGTGTGTGTGTGTGTGTGTGTGTGTGTGTGTGTGTGTGTGTGTGTGTGTGTGTGTGTGTGTGTGTGTGTGTGTGTGTCTGTGAGGCTGTAACAGACAAGGAGCACTGCAAAGCAAGCTAGAACATGAGGAACATTTTAAGACAATTGTACTATTTCTTTATTTCGGAATTTAACTTTTTACGAGTTGATTTTACAGGCGAAATTTTATGGACATAGAATCATGTTTTTTTTTTGTCTCGCAAATAAGGCTAGTTGAACAGTTAGACTATGATTGTCTGTCATTATCCCACCAGAAAACCAGCTTCAATGGATCCTCTCAACGAATGAGATTCCCCCAAAACTCACAAATCCACTTATGATGTAAAGGACAGCTTCTTTCCTTCCTACAAACTTTTACAATGGCCGAACGAGGCCATTAACAACTTGTCTGAGTTTGACATGAACATCATATAATAGCACAAAAGAAGCAGGTTCAAAACAGACAACTGTCCTATGACAGCCTTTTATTCTTTAAAAAGGGATGGAAATACCTCAACCAATCACCACAGTGATTACATCATCTGGAATGTTTTCCCTCGTCAGAATATCAACATTTAAAGAAGGGGCATGTTTGATGTCATGTTATCCGGTATCTGGATTGGTCATGAGCAGTCTGGTGGAGTTGATACAGGTCCAATAACTGATAATGATGCTTGTTCTGTAGACATTTTCTGAAATCAAACTGATAATACATGATCTACTGTAACAAGTGAGCTAACTATTCTGTACCAGACAGACAGATCTAAAGAGACCAAATTCAATTTCACTTTAAATAGTTTAAAAGACACAAAGTTATATCTACTACTTTACTTACAGGCTTGCTTTTTCAAATGTTTTAATTGGAACAGCTACGTAAAAAGTGGAACGTCTATTACCAATGAAAGACTTGGTCTACTACCAGCACTGTGTGATGGATGCAGTGTGAGCTGAGCTTTGAGCCTGCTTATCCTCGTCTGTGGTGGTAGCCCCTGCTGGGGAAGCATGGTGGACATCTGTAGTCCCTGCTGGGGAAGCATGGTGGGCATCTGTAGCCGCTGCTGGGGAAGCATGGTGGGCATCTGTAGCCGCTGCTGAGGAAGCATGGTGGACATCTGTAGCCCCTGCTGGGGAAGCATGGTGGACATCTGTAGTCCCTGCTGGGGAAGTATGGTGGGCATCTGTAGTCCCTGCTGGGGAAGCATGGTGGGCATCTGTAGTCCCTGCTGGGGAAGCATGGTGGGCATCTGTAGTCCCTGCTGGGGAAGCATGGTGGGCATCTGTAGCCGCTGCTGAGGAAGCATGGTGGGCATCTGTAGTCCCTGCTGGGGAAGCATGGTGGGCATCTGTAGCCGCTGCTGAGGAAGCATGGTGGGCATCTGTAGCCGCTGCTGAGGAAGCATGGTGGACATCTGTAGCCCCTGATGGTGGACATTTGTAGCCCCTGATGGGGTTAGGATTAGGGTTGGAGTGGCTTGGTTGACAGGTTCAGCTTCCCTCCAGGGCCTGGTGTGGTACTGGTATGGTTTAGTCCAGGGCCTCGCTGTCCTCAGTCAGGTCAGCCAGATCAACCACCGTCAGGCAGCCCTTAGCCGTGGCTGGATACAGCCCTTAGCCGTGGTATATTGGCAATATACCACAAACACCCAAGGTGCCTTATTGCTATTATAAACTGGTTACCAATGTAATTAGAGCAGTAAAAATATGTTTTGGTCATACCCGTGGTATACGGTCTGATATACCACGGCTGTCAGCCAATCAGCATTCAGGGCTCGAACCACCCAGTTTATTATAACATTTAACAAAGCAATATATTTTTTGGTTATATATATGTTATAATAATGATAATACATTATATTCACATACTGCTTTTCAAGGACACAAAGTCGCTTAATGTTGTTCTATGACTATGAAATAGATTATTGACCTCTGTTTCTAACACGAGAAGGCCCTCATCTTTTCTCTGCAGTCTTCAACATAGGCTGCATTCTCTCGTCAGTAGTGGACTTGATAAGGAATATGTGAACATACTGTAGGTGGGTCTAGAGGACAGAGATATAACATATTATAAGCCTTATAGAAATACATTATAATGGCCCATACATGCTTACAACAAGTAATAAAGCAACCCCTGTGTTCTCACTTGGTCTGGCTGATGAGGTGCACCCGGCCAATGGCCTGCAGCTCGTGGGCGGAGTTGAGGATATCTCCACCAATAGGACGTACGTAGCCTTGAGGATGTTGATCCCATTGGAGCCCTTGTGGAGACGAAGGAGCAGGAAATGGATCTTCTCCTCCTATTTAAACCAACATAGATTCTCCTGAAACACCAACGATCAATTCATAGGTTAACAGCACGGAGATGAAGACATACAGTAACAGCAAGCAGGCAGGGTGGACTTCATCATTGGGGCAAATGTATCTAAATTGGAAAATGAGAGATGCTGCGATTGTGAGGGGAAACAAGCTTATCAGTTGCAGCTCTCGCTCTGCAAGTAAAAAAATATACTTAATTTAGGAGAAAAGTATTGTGCCACTGAGACGTTGTACAGAAGCTATGATTGGAGTGACATGCAACACAAACCTTGAACTTGTGAATGCCATTGATTTTTACATTTTAGTCATTTTAGCAGACGCTCTTATCCAGAGCGACTTACAGTTAGTGAATGCATACATGTTTATTAATTTAAAAAAAAATATTCATACTGGCCCCACGTGGGAAACGAACCCACATCCCTGCCGGCCAAACCCTCCCCTACCTTGGACGACGCTGGACCAATTGTGCGCCGCCCGGTCGCGGCCGGCTGCGACAGAGCCTGGACTCAAACCAGGATCTCTAGTGGCACAGCTAGCACTGCGATGCAGTGCCTTAGACCACTGTGCCACTCGGGAGTCAATTTGATCTGATCAGTTGATCTGAGAGAACTCCATGTTGTCGTCGAACAGAGCCTTGGCAATGATGTACAGTATACTCTGCCACTGAAGAGTAGGAACAAATACACCACACACATCATCAACAACAACAACAACAACAACAACAACATCCTAATGTGATGTTTTAAACATCATCACCATGATTTGTATCACAGGTTTATATATGTTATCAACAGGAAGCTGGATGAGCTCCGCCCAAGACTAACCTATCAATGTGATCTGAAGAAGTGTAATATCCTGTGTTTCTCTGGGTTGTGGCTGAACAAGGACATGGTAAATATAAATCTAACTGGTTTCTCTAATATATCTCTAATGTTAAGGAAATCTCAAGGTGTTACCAAGAGAGTTTTTGTCTATATTTTTCGTAGCAGTCTATTTACCACCACAAACCGATGCTGGCACTAAGACCGCACTCAACGAGCTGTATAGGTTCATAAACCAACAAGAAAATGTTCACCCAGAGGCAGCACTCCTAGTGGCCGGGGACTTTAATGCAGGAAAACCGTTTTACCTCATTTCTACCTGTCACCTGTGCAACTAGAGGCGAAAAAACTCTAGATCACCTTTACTCCGCACACAGAGACTCATACAAAGCTTTCCCTCGCCCTCCATTTTGCAAATCTGATCATAACTCTATCCTCCTTCCTGCTTACAAGCAAAAACTCAAACAGGAAGTACCAGTGACGCGCTCAATACAGAAATGGTCCAATGAAGCGGATGCTAAGTTACAGGACTGTTTCGCTAGCACAGACTGGAACATGTTCCAGGATTCATCCGATTGCATTGAGGAATTTACCACATCAGTCACCGGCTTCATTTAATAAATGCATCGACAACGTTGTCCCCACAGTGACCATATGTACAGTTGAAGTCGGAAGTTTACATACACTTAGGTTGGAGTCATTAAAACTAGTTTTTCAACCACTCCACAAATTTCTTGTTAACAAACTATAGTTTTGGCAAGTCGGTTAGGACATCTACTTTGTGCATGACACAAGTAATTTTTCCAACAATTGTTTACAGACAGATTATTTCACTTATAATTCACAATTCCAGTGGGTTAGAAGTTTACATACACTAAGTTGACGGTGCCTTTAAACAGCTTGGAAAATTCCAGAAAATTATGTCATGGCTTTCGAAGCTTCTGATAGGCTAATTGACATCATTTGAGTCAATTGGAGGTGTACCTGTGGATTTATTTCAAGGCCTACCTTCAAACTCAGTGTCTCTTTACCTGACATCATGGGAAAATCAAAATAAATCAGCCAAGACCTCAGAAAAAAAATTGTAGACGTCCACAAGTCTGGTTCATCCTTGGGAGCAATGTCCAAATGCCTGAAGGTACCACGTTCATCTGTACAAACAATAGTACGCAAGTATAAACACCATGGGACCACGCAGCCGTCATACCGCTCAGGAAGGAGACGCGTTCTGTCTCCTAGAGATGAACGTACTTTGGTGCGAAAAGTGCAAATCAATCCCAGAACAACAGCAAAGGACCTTGTGAAGATGCTGGAGGAAACGGGTACAAAAGTATCTATATCCACAGTAAAACAAGTCCTATATCGACATAACCTGAAAGGCCGCTGACCCAAGTTAACAATTGAAAGGCAATGCTACCAAATACTAATTGAGTGTATGTAAACTTCTGACCCACTGGGAATGTGATGAAAGAAATAAAAGCTGAAATAAATCATTCTCTCTACTATTATTCTGACATTTCACATTCTTAAAATAAAGTGGTGATCCTAACTGACCTAAGACAGGGAATTGTTACTAGGATTAAATGTCAGGAATTGTGAAAAACTGAGTTTAAATGTATTTGGCTAAGGTGGATGTAAACTACCGACTTCAACTGTTTCTCCCTGGCATATTCCATCATTTCTGCAGCAGCATACAAGACATTTTTGGACTCACCTTATTGTGCTGTGCTCACTTGAACAGGACAGTGGCGCGGCGGTCCTTCTTGTGGGCAAATTTTGTCATCAAAAAGTCTGGCATTCTCTGGATTTATGGTGCTTTAAAGACAATTGGGAACTATGAAAAAAACAAGGTCGAATCATCTTCAGGTCGAAGCACTAGAAAGAGGCCCGAGTTCCCGACTTGGAATTCTGAGTTGGATGACCTTTCAAAACGTATTTTCCCAGTCAGAGATAGTTTATTTTTTTCGATTTCCCACGGCAGAAGTCATGCTGGATTGACAGCATGGCCAATGTATACAACATTTTCTGGCCCAAGGTGTTGCATGTGAATGTTTATCATTTTAAGCTTGGAAAAGAGACCCTTAGACCCAGACTTGGACCACACACCCGCTCCACTGAATAGCAGGCTAGTGATTGCTTTGCAACGCTTGCAGTTAGCCACTGATTCCTTCCAAACCACTCATTGTTGAATTTGCGATTTCCAACTTGTTATGTAATGTTGACGGCCGATGAGCACCGATACATTTTATCTATAATTTCTCTTCATATGACAAGGATTGAAAAGGATTTGGCAGTAGGTTGTCGACTTGAGTCATGATGATGACTGCTTGTCTAGCTTGCTAGCTACGATTTTGAAAGTGTGATGTTGACGTGATCAGTCCAATCAAAGCTACAGTAGATATAACGTGATTTTATGTCATTTTATCTGTGGCCAATGACCTTGAGCCTTCTTGGATGGGCACTTCTAATGTAAATCTATGGCAGCACCCAAGGCAGGTAGCTTAGTGGTTAAGAGCGTTGTGCCAGTAACCGAAAGGTCGCTGGTTCTAATCCCCGAGCCGATTAGGTGAAAAATCTGTCTGTGCCCTTGAGCAAGGCACTTAACCCTAATTGCTCCTGTAAGTCGTTCTGGATAAGAGCGTCTGCTAAATGACGAAAAAAAAAAGGGCCTTGAATTTTCGAGCTCTACCTGTAGATTTTGTGGTGACGTAGTGTCCCCATGAGTGACAGAACACTGAGCCAATCACGGCGCAACTAGAGAACATTACCAACCCCTACACTCCGTATTTTCTGCTGACTGCCCCACCACCACAGAAAGCACTGAGCTAGGCTGAAACATCTGCATTTTGGAGCTGCCTTATTCAAGAAAGCAAAAAAGAGACCATGTTTGTATGCGGCTTTATTAACTCAAATATATATATTTTTTACATTGTTTGCAAACTGATATGTGACACGTATTAATGCCAAAATAACATGCAAAACAGGCAACAACAACAACAAAAATGACAGGTTGCCACTGATGTGCATAAAGGATAATGCAATTGTTGGTAAAGTGTAGGTTAAGGGATCATAGCTTTCACCTGGATTCACCTGGTCAGTCTATGTCATGGAAAGGATTCTTCATCTTGGATCCCAGAATCAATTCTTGCGCACACTAGCAAGCTACTTAATTTGATTCTGGGGATTGACACAGCAGGAAATGGAAACAGCAGATTCAACACCTCCCCCCTCCCCACTACAGAACCACTACAGAACCACTACAGAACCACTACAAG